TTACAAAGACTGTCTCTAAGTGCACTTCTTTTACTTGCACTTTGGTACAGCAAAAAGAGGTGGGGAAAAAAGAGCACGGATGACTTCTGATAATAGGCTAGAATAGAGTAGTTTGGTTGGAAGGGACCTACAACCATCATCTAGTCCAACTGCCTGACCAACTCAGGGCTGACCAAGTTAAAGCACGTTACCCAGGCCACTGTCCAAACGCCTCTTAAACACTGACAGGCTTGGCCCGTCGACCACCTCTCTAGGAAGCCTGTTCCAGTGTTTGACCCCCCTCTTGGTAAAGAAATGCTTCCTAATGGCCAGTCAAAACCTCCCCTGCCACAGCTTTGAACCATTCCCACGCGCCCGAGAGAAATAAGTGAAACCAAGCTGTGAATTCAGCTCACACCCTCTTTAGTTTGAAGGAGCGGTACCTGTTCCTCTTAAAGCACCAGTGAGATCCTGAACAAAGAGATGTGAACATTTGCAAGAGGGATCCAGCGCGTTTAGCTAAGAAGTAACATTTACAATGGAAACAAAGCTGCAATCCCACAAGTTCAGAAACCATAAGGAACCTAGAAAGAGACACTGCAAAATACACTTAGCTTGACAAACACTTTCCTAGGTCTATCTTACCGAATCAAGTCTCCAGTTTTTATGTAAGAGAGATGTAGGCCAAACATTAGTTCTTCAAAAATAAGATATACTTAGTCTGGCAGAACTGGTTCAAGCTGGAAACTGACAAATTTAAAATTATTGAAGGATTAACCTTTTCCATCAATTAGCTAGAAATCTATAGGAAAATCCAAGCCAAAAAAAAAAGTCATAAAGCACTCTATAAGCATAAATTTAACATTGTTCATACAGTAACTGAAGACATTAAACCCAGAATCCTGCAATACAATTTTTAAAATCATTTTTCCTACCAAAATCAGACTGTAGTTTGTCATGGAAGGGAATTCTTGGGAGACAGAACAACTAAAACCTTCTTGGTACCTAACCTTCTGTACATCAGGAGGGTAAATACATTAGGCACAAGGCATTGCCAAGATGTATTTATTACAAAATCATGTATTGGGCATTTAGAGTAAAATCTCTTAATATCCTGTCTCACACCAAATGGCTTTATATGGGAATATGAGAGAGAAACCCCCTGTACATAGATGTGTTTCTAGCCATGAACTGTATGCAAGAGAAATTGCTCAACAAACTAAGAAAAATGTCACGTGTTCAACTTGCTTAAATCTCTAATAGGTAAAATAGAAGCACAGCCGCCTAATGCATCTTCCATTTTTCTGTTCCTTGAGTATTTGTCAACACTTGAACGCTATGGTAGAGGACGATCCAAAATAAGCACCTTAGAACAGTATTTTAATTCTGCGGAAGAAACTTTTCCTTGAAGTAGGAATATTACCTACCCCTTCATCTCAGGGTCCACGGAAAAATCTGCTTTGGCTTTCAGGAGGTTTGTCATTCAGCTGTTTATTAAGAGAAAAATCAATGTCAATTACTACTTTTGTAAATAATCAGGTTACCACAGTTACCTTGTCTGAAATGTTCAATAAATAATGCACCTCTGAGTCTAATAATTGGTAGTAAACCTTTGCTGTCAGTCATCTCTAGAAAACTTTTTTAAAATTTAAATTTGTGTTAAGCTTCTTGGTTTTGTAATCGTTGGGTTTTCATTCCATTTTGTGTTTTAGTGGGAAAGATACCTCAAGTAAAAATACAAAATATGTTAATAAATGTTATTTTAGAAGGGTGAAAAATACACAACTACATACTGCCATTCTTGCAACAATAAGTTACAAAACCTGCAACTGGCCTCACTTTTTAGACTTTTACATTGCATGGATGAAAACTTGCATCGGTGGAAAGTAAGGCTGGCTGTCCTTTATAATAATCAAAAGTATACTCCTTCCTGCTCACCATATAACATTTTCATAGTCAATTGGTCAAATAATTCTGTGCAGCTGTTCAGACACTTACTGCATGTTGATTCTTCAGTCATTCTGGATGTGTAGTACAATTAAAACTATTAATAGGAAGACAAAACATGCTAAGACTGAAATTCAATATTTCTATTTCTAGCTTTTTTTCCAGGCTATAGCATAATATGTAATTACATTCTGAAAAGTAATCTGCAGAGAACTGCAAAAGAAGAATATTAGACTATTTGTTTATGGAAAAAAAATTGGACTTCATCCCACATCTTTTACAACTAAGCCTGCATATTCAGCACAGATACAACTATTTAAGGAATAGATATGCTGAAGTCAATGAAATTTTAGATGCTTAAGTAATGCATGGGCCAATTCAATTTTTGTTTGCATTGCTACGCAAAGAAAGTTAATGTATATATAACCTTGATCTCTGATAACATGTTTATATTTTAGTCTAGTTTAAAAGTGGTAAGAATGAAGCATATGTTCGGTCACATTAAAATGAAAACAGCCTTTAGACTTTGCTACAGTTAAATAGTTGCACGTAAAAGGAAAATTGCTCTTCAGTACCCAAACTGCCAAGTTATTTTTAAATCTGTGTCTGGAATTCTCTTTTAGAAACATGCACATATTCTGTATACATGGATGTAATTCATAAAATGTAACTGCATTTTTGTTTTATCTTTGGGCTTGCAAAGCAATCAGTATTCAAAAAGAAGAAATTATCTCGCGTACTACTTAAGGGCATTCAGGTCAGAGATGGAGCACAATACAATTAAATAAACATTTCAGCATTTCAAACAATAAGGCTAGGTTTTGAAAGCATGCACCCAGCTTTTGACTTTGGCATCTCTGAAAAACAAACATCAAAACCCCTTCCAGACCCAGAAGCTTCCACTGCTTTTACATGGAACTGCTGATGCCTGAAAACTGCCAGTTGCATGACTGCATTGACTCCAAAGTAAATCAAACAACATAATTACTGGGGTAAGGTGATCTCGAGCAACACATTTCCATCCTTGAATTCAGTTGGAGCTTTTTGATTTGTTACACTACTCTGTTTTCATGGCAAGTTACGCTTCTGCTGCAGCTCTCCATTATTCTGAACGCACTAACACAAATTCCAGGGTTCTCCACCTGCTCTTATAAAGAGAAATGTTACGCTGTTAATATTCTAACTCATGGTATTCAAACTGTGATCCGTGAAGACTCAGCTGACTGACAGTGCAGATCAAATATCTCCTTGGCTTGACTAAGGAAAGCTGAGTATACATTAATGGCACATTAGCAAACTTTTCAGAACTTGAGGAATGTCATGTGGATGTTACCTAATGATGGCCAAGGGAAAAAGAGACAATTTTTACAATAGGATATGGTGTACACTTTTAAAATATCTGAAAACCAGCACTATAAACACTTCTAAGAACACAACTACAGTAAAGCAAAATTAACAGTGCAGAGTGACCAAGTTAGGATCCCAGCTGTCTTTCTGTCTCTGCCTCTAACAGTTGCCTAAAAACATGACAGTTTTGGACAAGAACTCCAATACTGAGGAAAAAGCGTTCAAAAGTGAAGAGGGCTTAAATATCAAACAACTCAAAGAGACCATACTATAGAAAAGAATGATTAGAATTCTTGTCTGCAGGTTAGTGGTATTGCAGCCACACAGGAAATCTTATTTTATGGAATAGATTTTGAGGGCTTTGGCACAGCAAACACCTTGAAGTCCATGTGAACAGGTGATCTATGAATTTGTAAATAGTTTTAAATACCCATGCTAGTTGGGGTTGAGGGGTTTTTTTGGTCATAACATTACTGTCTCCAATTTTTTCAGTAAATTTGTACTAAACACCTTTCAGAAAACTTTCAACAGAAAAAAGAGATTTAATTGGATTCAATGTATGCTTAAGAACATAAAACCTTCTTATTAGGCTGATGAGCATTAAAAAAAACCAAAAAACAAACCACGTTTGGCTGTCTTACCGTTAAGCAACTTAACTCCAGAGAGTTTCATCATCATCTCATGTTTTCCCTTTCTTTACTATTTTGACCAGTAAAGCATGTAACTGCAAATAGTATTTGCAAAAGTTTTTCCTACAATAAGAGGAGTCAGAAGATCAAAGCAAGACTGAAAAGTAGTACTACTGCTGATAGTTATACCCTTAAAGTATGCTTTATCAAATAAAGACAGCTGAATTCCTGGATAAGGCACATTCATGTGACTGAATAATTCTGAAAAATTCATAAAATTGTACTTTTTTTTTTTGGAGAACATCATGCAGCTACTGCTGATTACTGCATTAGGTGTAAAATTTTATAGTTGAAATCCTAGGGGTATCAACAGTTTGCCTGTTACACATACATACACAATTTCTTCACACAAGCTTATTCTTTAGTGCTTTGCTATAATGACAGGTGACAGGTTTTCTACTGGTCAGGTTTTAATACTATGAGCTTCAGTTCTGGCATCCCCTGGCACTCTGGCCTACAAAAGCAGATTTCACCAAAAACTCTGCTTTCACAGCAAAAATTAATGGTTTCAGCGTATCTGAACATAATCCACAATGCAATTTGCAAGTGAAAACAGACATAAGGCAGTAATTCCACCTCCCCCACCCCCCACCCCCCTGACACAGCTTGATGTAAGTTTGTTTTATATTTGGAAAATTTTTCTGTCACAGAAGTTTTCAGAAAAATTTTAGAGGCTAAAGACTATTCACAACAAATAGGCAACAAATATTTTATGGTCTGCTTAAATTTAGGCAGGAGGACGGCTGTGTATCTGCAGCATTTTACAAAACCACATCACACAGAAGCCCCTGGTTTGGAACAGAGCATACTTCTGCAATTGTAAAGATGAAAAAAAAATCCATGAAAGCCTCTGCCTTCACTGACTACAAACAGGAGCACTCTTTTCTTTACGTGGTCATAGGATATTGTAAACTAAGCATAGTAATTCAGTGAGTCTCACCATATTCAAAGAGAATCACACAAATTATTCAGGCAACCCTCTGCTGTTACCTTGAGATCCCAATTCACTTTAAAAGAAACAGCTTTCAATAATTTTACCTTTGGACTGCTCACTATATTCTGATGCTTCTTGAATCTTTTTTTCCCATCCAGTACACTGCTAAAACCAGTCAGTCCTATAACTATTGCTAATTAATTTGCTAACTTTTACTGCTTCTCTTTTTTCTGAGTAGGCCTGTAAACCCAAATATATTAAGGAAAACAATAGCATAAGTAAACAAAAATGGCTATTAGGTAGGAAAATTTTATTTTACACAGAAAGGCCAATAGCCTTATAATTTATTTCTAAGTAACTATACATATATTCCATATGTAATCATCTAAGAAAAACAAAAACAAACCAAAAAAACCCCAAAGCACACAACTAAATCTGTTTCAGTAACAGGTAATTTGAGGTGAGAAGAGCCATCCATTTTATTGGAACTTTACATGTATAATACTTACACAGTTCTGGTCTTAGAAACAAAAAAGTGAAATCACACAAAGAACATGTAAGTAAAACAAGCTGACAATATTCATTCTGTGCTGCACAAAGATGAAATTTTGTCACAGATTCGCTCTTAAGATTGTAAATCAGCTTATCACTTATTTTGCATCATTAACATATTTCTAAACCATTCTGGGATTACTGATGACTCCGTAATAAATTTTTAAGACAAAGTACACAGAGACAATTCAGTTGTGCATGCAGCTGATGATGTGATTACATTACAGGTTATATAATTTGCTTAAAAGACTATTATCTTCCAGGTGTTCATTACAGTGTTTTTGCTGTGCCTGACCTTATATAGGCTACATATTGCAGTATGTGCAACACAACAGGCTACATTGCTCTAAATGCTTTGACATGTTTCTACCAGTCTGTTAATTCAAATGTCTGCATTTGTCACCCAGCTCTACATGCACGTGCAAGCCATCTGCTTAAGTTCCTCAAGCTTCCTTCTTTGACAAAGGAAGTAACAAAACCATGGATCACTTTGGTACAAGAACAGAATGTGCACAGCACTGTAACAAACTGAATGTCATCATAAAACCCACTTTATAAACCTCTACCAAGCTTTCTGATGATGCTTTTTTGTGACATCATTTTCACCAGACCACTACTTTAAAAGCCCAAGTGTCACCAAATCTTGGGAATAAACCTCGTAACACCAATGTAGTGTTAAAAGGCAGGCATTCTTTATTGCAGCGCTGGATGCACGGGGGATAACTCCACCCAACGTGCATGCCAGGTGATCACCAACACACAGGTTATGTAGGATCAAAGCATACGTATTCATTGTTTTTCTCAGAAAAGGCAGTCCTATGATAATCATTTTTTAGAATCCATTTCCATATTCTCCTCCCTGTCACGCATGCTCAGTGATTTGAGTCGGTGGTCCTCAGGGGTCTCTGGTGGTTGTCAGTGGTCTTGCACCCGTGTCTGCTGGATGACCCCCTTCATGCAGGCATGCGCAGTATCCTTGTTGTAGGTGCACCTGTCCATAGCAACTTACTTCATAAGATTAATATCTCCAAACCTATTGTTCAGTTTGGTAGGGACTGTACATGGAACATAGCAGCATTGTACCTTGCCATGGTCAGTTAGCTTCATTACCTATTACCTTGGTTACATACTAATTATCTCAACCTGATTCTATAGTTTCTGTTTCACGGCCCCTATCCCACAGTTACACAAGCATAAACTGTAAAGACCTCACTCAAATGCAGCTAAACTGTCATCATCTACTTAGATGAGACACAGTGCAAAACCACACTCTTTGCTGAAAGATACCTATACACGATAGACTGCAAGGATGCCCTGACAAGGTGACCTCTTACATCACATTTTCAATTGCTCATTTTTTCCATAGGTTAATTTCAAAACTCAGATGATTCTTCTGTAGTATCTGCAAGCACCTTCTACCACCACGCTCAAGTAAAGCCAAAGAAAACAAAGGAAAAATAAACAAGCAAGACAGACGCTCACCAGGTTGGTCTCCTTGCATTGCCAGCATGACATAAGCTGGATCGGTCTCTTTGATCCGCCTCCTGCGGCACCCAGATGGCACTTCATGGGGACCTTTTGCAAGGTCACTGAGACCCGGGATCGGGGATGTTGGAGGAAGTGGGCTCTTCAGGGTTACCAGCTTCTCTGTGGCATTTCAGTGCCATGTGGCAGTACCATCCTGTGATAATGGAAAAGAAAATATTTATGGGAAAAGTTAGCTGCTGGCAGCCCTTTTTCAGGCAACTAACAAATCGAGGCCACCTGAAACCTGATAGACGTGCTGCATTTCAGCTTGGAGACAGAAGACCAGGCTGGCTTTTTCTGGGAGATACAGTGCACACAACTTCTGGAGGATCAGATGCCACAAGGGAACACCCTGGTTTCAGTTTTGAAACAGCACTCAAATTTTCACAAAAAGCGTGCTAATAGAGGGGATCGTGCATCTGCATGCAGAAAATGATTTCCAAGGACACCAAGAGCAGCAAGAGGCACAGAAGACAGCAGGAAACACTGAAGCCTTTGGTTTCCTTTCCTCCTCATCCGTTAACAAAAGCAAAGATAGTACCTGTCCGTTTGCAGGTCTTTATTTGCAGAACAATCAAACCCAATCCCCAACCACCCACATCCCCAAATTAAAAAAAACAAAACAACCAACCAAGAAACCACCCCACACCCTACCTCTTGATACATTACTTCTACAACTTCTAGGGAGCAAAAAGACAATATAAATAAATCCTCATTAAGAGGAAAATGGAGTGGCAGACAAGGAAGAAAAACACAGTCTATGGAGTTATGCGATGAAAAGTGCACAGGATGTTTACTGAAGTAACTCCACGTGCAGCAAATGCCATTTCGTAGGAGTAAGGAAACTGTCTTAAGGCAGGCAGCCTACTAAGGAGCTCTTAGGTACACACAAATCTTAGCTATGCTGAAACTTGCCTCCAAGAAATAATAACCCAAAGCACTTGCTCTCCCCAGTATCAGGGCAAAGAAACATTAGACCATGCTCCCTGTCACTTTGCTAACTGGTCCATCGGAAACTGCACGATCTGATTATCCCAAATGCTCTCCTTCTTTGCACTTTGCTGTGTTGCCACTGTCTTGGATCTCCACTGCATGCCATGACTTAAGATTAAAAACAAAATCAAAATTTCCTCTAGAAGGGATCAGCAACCCCAGTCGAACAGGCTGAGCTCTACTGGGCTTCACCTAGATGGCAAAGTGCTTCTGAGTGATTTTTTCCACCTGTGGTGGGTTAACCCTGGCTGGACACCAGGTACCCAACCAACACCACTCTCTCTCACTCCCCTCCTCAGCTGCACAGGGGAGAGAAAATACAACGAAAGGCTCGTGGGTCGAGATAAGGACAGGGAGACATCACTCACCAATTACTGTCACAAGCAAAACAGACTTGACTTTGTAAAGTCTGACACTGACATCTTCCAGAAGACCTCTGAAAAGGAGGAAACGCTGTCGTTCAGAGTGATAGAGAACAGCAGATAAAATGACTTGGAGACAGCAAAGGTGCCTAGAACTCAACCAGTACTTGAGTAAACTCAGGCAGGAACCCGACAGTGAAGAAACTGTGATAATGGCACTCTCCTTGCAGACCCAAGCAAAGGCCAGCTATCGGCTCCACATTCCCTCCCTGAGATCTTCCCAGCATCCATCCAAACGGCAAACTCTTTGCCTGGCACAGAGAAAAAAAAAGCTCCTTCTGTCCAACTTGACTTCAGCTCCTGTCTGAAGCAGTAGAGATGGCCTGGCACCCAGACATCGCAGCTTGAGTCTGAAATCAGCTTGCCTATGGACACAAGGCCCGGGCGTACAGAGACGGGATGGGCGCTGCACAAGTCCCTCGGTGACTGCCCCTTCGGATGCCATTCACTTCCTTCGCACAGCAATGGGCCATGGTGCCTGACAGAAAGCCTACTTGACTTCATGGCAAGCCGGCACCTCTTCTTGCATGGGAGCACTGACCAAGCGCCAGCACAAAGCAATCACAATCACCTGGGGTAGAGAAGCCAGATAAAAGGAACCAGCGAAGCGGAAGCAGTGACAAACAGCTCCTTTGCTTGCCCGCTGAGAAGACAAAGGCGCATCACGGCGCTGCTGGAGCACGGAACGCGCATGGGGTCCGGTGCTGCAGGAA